CTGAGGTCAGGAGTTCAAGACCAGCCTGGCCAACATGGAGAAACCCCATTTCTACTAAAAATACAAAAAATTAGCTGGGTGTGGTGGTGTGTGCCTGTAATCTCAGCTACTCAGGAGGCTGAGGGAAGAGAATTGCTTGAACCTGGGAGGTGGAGGTTGCAGTGAGCAGAGATCATGCCACTGCACTCCAGCCTGGGCAACAGAGCAAAACTCTGTCTCAAAAAAAAAAAAAAAGTTCAATTAATGATAAGTAACCAATTAGTATCTTCTGAGATATAAAAAATATTTTGTTTATAAAACTATAAACTTAAAATATGGAAATTTAAAATGTAATCAGGAAACTAAAAATTGAATTGAAGAATTAGAAGATAATGTTGAAGAAAAACCTGTCAGAACAACAAAAAACAAGAAACGGAACATAGGAGAAAAATATCAGAAAACTAGAGGATCAGTGCACAAAGGCAACAGTGGACTGGAACATTAAGAGTTCCAAAAAGAGAACAGAGGAAAAGGTGAGGAAGAAATTAAGGATGAACTAACATAAGAAAATTTGCCAAAACAGAGGATGAGTCTTCAGTGCTAAGTGGTTGACTGAGTTCCCCAAAGAGACCTGTCCTAAGTCACATCACTGTGAAATTCAGGACACTGTTATTAAGGAGAGGATCCCAAAAGTTTCCAGAGCCTGAAGAAAATGAAAATGTCATCGCACTCCTCAATAGCAATGCTGGAACCTAGAAGACAATGGAGGAAAAAATGCCTTTAAAATTCCGAGTGAAAATTATTGTCAACCTAGAATTCAGTATCAAAACTACCAATGAAGTGTGAAGAGAGAATAAATCAGACACGCGAGAATTTGAAAAATTGATCTACCATGTTCCTTTTCCTAGGAAGATACTGGAGATGTGTTCTATCAAAATGAGTGAGTAAATCAAGAAAGAGGGAAATGTGGGATTCAGAAAGCAAGAGAGTAAAGAAGTTAAATCCCAGGCTAACAGGCAGGAGGCCTCAGCGGGTCCACTAGGCAGGAGGATGGAGGATGGGATGAGGAAGAGGATGGGAACTCACAGATTATCTGAATCACTTGTGCATGCAGTAAGAAAATCATATTGAGCTCAGGCATGGTGCTTACACCTATAATCCCGGCACTTTGGGAGGCCGAAGGGAGCAGATGACTTGAGACCAAGAGTACGAGACGAGTCTGGGCAACATAGCAAGACCCTGTGTGTACACATAATTTTAAAAACTAGCCGAGTGTGGTGGTGTGCACCTGTGTTCCCAGCTACTTGGAAAGCTGAAGCAAGAGGATCACCTGAGCCCAGTGTTAGGTTATGAAGGGAAGGTGAAGGTTAAAGAAAGACACATACACAGAAAGAGGGCAGCTCAACAGCAAATGCAGGCTTCATGTCCAGCATAAAACCTATGAAAGTGGGGAACTAGCCTAATGTCAGAGTCCACCGCTGCATGTAGGCTGAGGGTACTTATAGGTATGGGCAGGAGGGGTCTGGGCAGTATGGCTTGCTACTCGGAGGATATTGATAAGATGTTCCCATGATGAGGCAGTTCTGACCCTTGCTCCAGTGGGATGTCATCATGGTGTTCCTTGGACCTTTGTCCAGCGAGACATGAGAGGGATGTTTCTTTAGTTGGGCCTTTGTCTGCCTTGTGGTCAGGTGGTTAGGCAGGATGTTTCTCATGGCCCGAACCCCTGAAAAATGTTTCATTTTGACCCAAGTCTACAAAATAGTGGAGCTTAAAATGGTGCATTTTGGACTAACACCCTGGAGTTCGAGGCTGCAGTGAGCCATGATTGTGCCACTGCACTCTGGCCTGGGTGACAGAGCAAAAACTCATCTCTAAAAAAAAAAAATCATATTGAGAGGGCTGTGTAAGACCTGTTGAACATTTGGGGAAAATGGGTGATAAGTCTATGCAAAATAAGCAAATTAAGACAATTAAGACAATTATTCAGTCCAGGAAAAAAAAAAGTTGTTCAAAAAAAGAAACCTGATTATCAGATATGAATATTTCATCGATTCTCACATGTACATGTTTTCACATTTTAATGAGTCTGAAGTGGGGGTGTGTTTTTCAGTCAAAGGCATCTGACGGTCACTATCAGCCAGGTTCAGTCTTGATGTTGTCATGCCTGTGCAGGTACGAACTTAAGTCATTTTTGACATTTCAGTCCACAAACAATTTTAGGATCACGTGAGGAAGGAATGTGAGTCCTGGTGTGTCAGAAAACCTGTGGGCACCTTTTGGCATGGTACCCATTCTGTAAGCATCCAGACTTGCAGGATGAGGTCAACGGTATGGAAGAAAACTGTGGAGACCAGAGTGAAAAGCTCTTGAAGAATTATTGCAACACTGACACCTGGGTAGTTCAAAGAATGGTTCTCTAAACAGACAAACAACAAACCGAGCACTGACAACTCTAAAAAGTGATTCAGAAGAGATGAATGCTGAATTCAAAGGTTTAAGGATACCCAATTTTGCACAGTTTTTGTATGTACAAGATTGATCTATGATAAAAACATACATCTAAATAAGAGCACTTTCAATATGTTTACATTAAAATTTTAACTAATAAGAGCATTTGATTGGCAGCAATTTTCTTTCTCAGTGGTTCATATTACAAATTGATGGTGCCATACATTCAGTGAAATCTGGGGTACTAGCTGTAAATACCAATGTTGATTTTAATTAAAACTGTCATTATAATTGAAGGATGGGAAGACAGGAAATGTTATGTGTGCTTTGATGCGGGGAAAAATGGTGGTGGGTAAGTGGGAAAAATCTTCACCTCTGTAACAGGAATTTAAAAGATGAAGTCTAAGATTGATACATGCTTTTTAGAAATTGGTTTTTAAAAACACACCGAAAGCAACTAGAAGAGATGAAAGTGGTTGTTTTTGGGAAAAGAGGTGGGGTTTGGGAGGAGTGGGTCACTGGGGTTTTAATTAATAAATGTTAATCCTATTTAACTTTTTAGACTCTGTGCATCATTAATTTGATAAAAATAATTTTTAAATAAATAAATGGTCTCAAAAAAGCCAATCCGTGCTGTTATCTCTATAAATATATATACTCTTTTTCGGCCATATGGTGTAACTTTTGGTTAGAGAAATCTATTCACCGTGAGAGGCTGCAGGATGTAGCAAAAAGAGCTTAGTTCTGGTAGCAGTCGTCTGGATTTGCATCTTGAGTTCCTCGCTTACTAGCTGTGTGACCTTGGGCAAATTGCTCCACCTCTCTGGACTTTAGTCTTCTTCCCTGTGTTTCACTGGTTGTTGTGAGGATCGAAGAAAAGTGTGTCAAGCCCCTGGCACAGTGCCCGTCCCATTGTTGAGTTCAGCGGAACTTCCCCTCCTTTCACAGTGCAGCCCCCTCAGTGGGATCCTGCCTCCTCAGGAACAAGGCTGATCCCTTCAATGTGCTCCTCTGCTCAGACACTCCAGGACCCTTTGCTCATGCAGTCCTCCCAAAGCCACCCACCGCCCATGGCTTTTGGCCTGCATATCTGCAATGTTTGTGGCTCAGTCCTCTTTTCTGTCCCCAGGAACCCCGAGGTTTCTTGTATCTCCTCCTTTATATCAGGCTCAGCCTGGGAGCTGATGGGTTCTGCATATGACAGTGCTCAGTTGTTTCTGTCCCAATGAACACTGTGGCTCTGTGGACAGACTCGGGGTCCTTTGCTCTTCTCCAAGGTCTGGGAGACACAGAAGCCTGGGTTCCCAACTCGCCACTCAGCTCCTGAATCCCGGGTGTACAGGAATCAGCCTCCCTCTGCCTCACAAAGCAGCCATCACTGATGCAGGTTGGCTGTGTCCTGGAAAGCAGAGAGGCCTGCTGCTAGCTCTCCCGGCCTCTGCTCGTTCTGCCTTCCCTCCCACACTGCGGCCTCTGGAGCTCTGCAGGCAGTAACTTCATGGGTAGAAACAGCTTTCTTAGAAATTAAAAGCAGGTGGGCTCTTTTTCTTTCCTCCTCAATTGGATGAGAGAGGTGCCTGTTCAGGGCTCCCTCTCCCAGGACAGGTAGGCAGTTCGTGTTTATACATGTGACCCAGAAATATATAATGAGCCACACCAGGGCTGTTGACAGTGTTTGGATGTGGAGGGCATCATGCCTCCCTTCAGCTGCTGTTCAGAGAGAGTAGAGGCAGAATAGATGAGGGGAAGAAGAGATCCTGAGTTGAGGGCAGCCCTCTCCTAACGCCATGGGTATGTGAGAACGTGGTACTGTCCCACAGGTTGCCACATGAAAGCTGTGTCCCCACACACATGACCCCATGGCAGATCACGAGCGATGCTACCAGGGCAACCTGAAGGAAAGTGCAGATGGTGGGGTTAGGAGGGAGGAGAGCAATTAGGAAAGGGGAAGTCTCAGCCCTTGAGACTATGGGAACACATAGTCTTTGGCATCAGAAATGTGGACTCCAGTCCCTGCTTCACATGAAGTTCTGCATGATTTGCTTAGGTCACACAGAACCTTGGTTTCCCCATCTCTTAAGGAAAAAGCCTGGAGTTGTCGTTGGAAACTTAAATCTCCTACATTCAGGGTTTGCCAAATCTTTTCTCCCTTCCTGCCTCCTGCTCATTTGAGGGCCATCTGGCACAGAATAGGCACATTTCCCACTCAGGGCCTGGGGTGATATTGAAGGTCCTTTGGCCACTTCCAGCTTGCTGGCTGACTCCTAGGACAGAGCTGCATGGGGATGATGAAAGCTACAGAAGCTGTACCTCCAGGCCTCCCCTTACCCAAGCAGGTGGGAGGGGTGTTGGGCTGACGGTCTCCACCTGTGAAAGGCCTCTGGGTAAGAAGATTGGGCAGCCCTTCCAGGTCCATGTGGATGTAGAGAGAAAAGCCCCCACCCTGCAGGCTGTCCCTCCTTCGCAGCTTCCTGTCCACTCCCAATACCGGCTGCTGCCTGCCCTGGTGGTGAGTGGTGGTGAACAGTACAGTCATGTGATATCTATGTGTTCCTGTGTTCCTCCCCCAGGCCACAGAGTGGGCCTCCAGCGAGGACACGCGACGCTCCTGCCAAAGCAAAGGGAAGACTGAGGTACGTGGTCTCGATGGTCCGGGGGCCCCACCCGGAGCTAGAAGGAGGTTTGTGGTTGTGGGGATGGAGGAGGCACTGTGCGGACATGACGTCCCCTGCTGGAGAGGCCTGGCCAGGATAAGCTGGGGCTCCTTGGGCAGGTGGGGACACCGCCCTGCAGCCAGTTGGTCCTGGGCATCTGAGTGAGCAGTGATGCAGAGAGATGGCCTTGATGGGAGGGGCATCCACAGACGTGACCTGGACATCAGGACAGGTGGATCTGGGGTCGAAGGGAGTGTCTGAGAATACCTGTTGACATCCATGACGCAGTGGTGTGAGGGTGAGACACCCAGCATCGCACCTGAAGAGTGTGCTGTCTGCTTCTTTCCTTCCTGCCTCAGGAGGAGTGTCAGAACTACGTGCGAGTCCTGATAGTCGCCGGCCGGAAGGTGTTCATGTGTGGGACCAATGCCTTTTCCCCCGTGTGCACCAGCAGACAGGTGAGTGGCTCAGGGTGGGGCAGGCTGAAGGGGGCACCATGCGGGGTTTCTCCTGTCCAGGCACGGCCTTGCAGGAGGGTTGCCAAATTTTGCAAACAAACAAACAAAACAAATATAAAAGGATGCCCAGTTAGATTTGGATTTCAGATAAACAATAAATGATATCTTAGCATAAGCATGTTCCCTGAAGTATTTGGGATAAACTTATACTTAAAAATTACTTCCTGTTCATCTGAAATTTGAATTGAATTGAGCCTTCTGTATTTTGTTGATCAGCCTTACCTTGGAGGGTCCTGACCGGGGCTGGAGACAGATGGACCCACTGGGAGGACCTTTCCCTCCCTGAGGGAGGCTCCCTCAGAGGGACCATAGACTGGGTAGTGAGAGAACGCTGGAGGAGGGGAGGGGTCCGGAGAGAATGGGGCCCAGGAGGAAACAAAATTTTGATGGAAAGAACAGGCAGCACCAGGGCCTCAGGGAACAGTGTCCCCTTCTCCCCATTGTCCCCAGGTGGGGAACCTCAGCCGGATGATTGAGAAGATCAATGGTGTGGCCCGCTGCCCGTACGACCCACGCCACAACTCCACAGCTGTCATCTCCTCCCAGGGGGAGCTCTACGCGGCCACGGTCATAGACTTCTCAGGTCGGGACCCTGCCATCTACCGCAGCCTGGGCAGCGGGCCACCACTTCGCACTGCCCAGTATAACTCCAAGTGGCTCAATGGTAAGGAGCCCCCAGTGCCAGGGGTGGGGACTCACCTGGTTCTGATCCCGCCAGCCCACCCTGAGCTCCCCCATTCATTCTCCTTCCTGTCTAACCTCTGCAAGGGCTCCCACTTGCCTCATCAAGGAAGAGGTCCAGAGTAGGGCAGATGTTCATCCAAAGACCAGAGCATGCTGGAAATGGACCCCAGATGAAATCACAGATGGTGCTCTGAGGACCCAGAACAGATGGAGGGTGGGCTATTAGGGGAGAGTGAGATAATCAGGATTTGTTTAGGAAAATAAGTTATGGATAAGAAGAAATTATGAGGCCAGGTGTAATGGCTCATGCCTGTAATCCCAACACTTTGGGAGGCTAAAGCAGGAAGATCTCTTGAGGCCAGGAGTTTGAGACCAGCCTGGGCAACATAGCAAGGTCCTATCTCTAAAAAAAGTAAAAAATAAATTAGCCTGGCATGGTGATGCACACCTGTATTCCCAGCTGCTCAGGAGACTGAGGTGATAGGATGCCTGGAGCCTAGGAGTCTGAGACTGCAGAAAGCTATGGTCACATCCCTGAACTGCAGCCTGGGCGAAAGGGCGAGAGCCTGCCTCAGGAAAGAGAGAGAGGTTATGGAAAGGGCCATATGAGTTTCCTAACCCTTGGGGTTGAACCCGTTTTCTCACTATTAGGTTACACAAAACCGATCCTGGTTTTTGCCATCAAAAGAAGTGGCAAAATTTTCAATTATTTTTGAACCAACCTAAATAGCTATGTGTCCTTGAGCAAGTACTTAACCCCTGTGTGCCACGATGTTGTTCTGTAATATGGGGATAATCATAGGATTTACCTCAGAGCTTATGTTCATCAGCTGGGTAAATCCCCGTGAAGTGCTTAGGATATTGTCTGGCACCCAGTGAGAGGTGGGTGGTAACACATGGTTAATATTATAGCTGCACTTGGTATTGGAGGTGGGAGTAGAGTTAGTTAGGGCCCCCAAGTCACTAAGCTTGCAGGGAGAGGATGTCAGGGTGCCCATCTGGGAAAACGGAAGCAGTTGAGTCCTCCCGACTCTGCCCTCTTCTTCCCTGCTGGCCTCCCCTGCCCCTTGTTCCTCTTCTGCCCACCCAGAGCCAAACTTCGTGGCAGCCTATGATATTGGGCTGTTTGCATACTTCTTCCTGCGGGAGAACGCAGTGGAGCATGACTGTGGACGCACCGTGTACTCTCGTGTGGCCCGCGTGTGCAAGAATGATGTGGGAGGCCGATTCCTGCTGGAGGACACATGGACCACATTCATGAAGGCCCGGCTCAACTGCTCCCGTCCAGGCGAGGTCCCCTTCTACTATAATGAGCTGCAGAGTGCCTTCCACTTGCCGGAGCAGGACCTCATCTACGGAGTTTTCACCACCAACGTGTGAGTCCTGCCCTCCACCAGCTCCTTCCCTGTGATGTCAGGAGCTGGCCTGGACTCACAGCCTGGTGGGCTTCATCTATAAAATGGGGGGACTGCTGTGCCTCCTGCCCAGGGTCATCTGAGGATTTTGTCTTACTGCTTCTAGAGTGATAGGCACGTGTTCTTGGCTGCTGGGAAGGGCAAGCCCCGGCCAGATATGAATAAAGCAAATGGATCTGGCTGAGGTTCCATGAAGGAGGAACATGCTGGTGATGAAGGTAGAAAAGCCTGCCTCTGATGAGAGGATGCAGCCATGTGGGACAGGGAGGCGGGCAGCAGTAGCCTCAAGGAGGCTCAACAGGGATTCCCCAAGGTCCCTTCCAACCTCAGGACTATGTGATTCTGCTCAATCTAACCAGCAATCTTCTGGTAATCCTGCCATCACCTCCCATCTAGATTGTGCTGGAAAACACAGGCTGGGAATGATAGTCCCTTTTGTTTCCTAGGTGTGAGGACAGGTAACCCTCACAGATAATGGGACCCTCCTCCCACCACCTTCTTCTGTGTAAGAGGCTAACCCAATCAGGTGACTTTCCTATAGACCAAGCTTGTCCAGCCCACGGCCTTCCCCCTAGCCTGTGGACTGCAGGTGGCCCTGGACAGCTTTGAATGAGGCCCAACATAAATTTGTAAACTTTCTTAAAACATTACGATTTTTTTTTTGCAATTTTTTTTTTAGCTCATCAGCTATTGTTAGTGTTTAGTGTATTTTATGTGTGGCCCAAGACAATTCTTATTCTTCCAATGTGGTCCAGGAAAGCCGAAAGATTGGATGCCCCAATATAGACAATGATGGATGGACGCACCGAGACCAAGGAAGGCACTGGCTGAACAGTGTTCTTCGTAGGAACATCAGAAACCTATGAGCCATGGAGTGGTGTTTGCTCACCTTGGGCCCCAGATAGCAGCCACTATATGAGGACCAGGCTAGCTATAGGAAGGACAGTGTGAGGGGGTGGACAGAGACGAGAGTCAGGAGTAGGTGGAGAGACATCAAAACTGATGCCATCAGTGTGGATTGTAAATAGTGTTTTTATTGCATGCCTTCTCCATGCAGGTGCTTGTCCTGCTAGGGGTGGGGTGTCAGGGAGCAAAAGCAGACATGACTCTGTCCTTAAAAGCTGAAGCGGGGTGATGGATATTAAACAACAAATTTTAATCGTGATAAATGCTATAAAGAGAAAGGGCAGTGTGCAGAAAAGTCTCTAACAGTATAAAGGAGTGGTGATCAGGGAAGGCTTCCTATAGGAAGTGACATCTATAGGATGAGGAGGAATAAACTAAGGAAGAGGAGCATTCCAGCCTGAGGGAACATGTGCAGAAGTTTGAGGTGGGAAGAAATGTTTCAGGAGCTGAGCAGAGATCAGTGTGGCAAGAGAGTTAAGGGTGAGGAAGAGAAAGATAGGAGAGGAGAGTGAAGGGGTAGGGCAGGGAGGATGTGTCCCAAAGGACATTGCAGACTGCTTTAAGGGTTTTAATCTTTATTCTAAGAGCAAGGAGAAATTATTCACAGGTTTGAAGCAGGCCAGCCACCAGCTCAGAGGTGCTTTTTGAAATGCTCACCACTCTGGCTGCCGTGTGAAAAATGGATTAGGAGACTAGACAGGCTGCAGGCAGGCCACCAAGAGAACAGCACAGCATTCGGGGGACTGAAGGGGGGCTGAACCCAGGCAGAGGTGGAGAGAAATGGACATATTTGGGAGGAGAACTAAATGCGAAGCATAGAACTAGAAACATTTGGTATGGTGGCATCTTCTCTGTGACCTGTTCATGCAAGATTCACGGAAACAATGCTTCTGTGACTGAAAGGGCCTCCTGAACTCAGGGTGTGGCAGGCTAGAGCATAAATCAGTGGTTTGGTAACCAGCTTTTGTAAATAAATAAATCAGAATGGAATAAAATATCAGAGTCTCACATATTTAGTAAGGGTAAGTTCATAAAACTTCATTATGGATGTGTGCAGACTATACTGAGTTGTAGGGTAAAATATATCTCTTACCGTGGGCCTGAGACACAATGTTTGAAAGCCACTGAATTTCAACCTCCTGCTGGATAAGGGAGGGAGGAAGGTAGTAGCACAGGAGGATTCACCAGTGGGTCATTCCCAGGGGGTTTGCAGAGTGTGAGGACCACTTCTCCTTTTGAGATACCCCTGTGGTGCGCCAGACTCATCATAGATGCTTACAGAGCCTTGGGGATTGGATATGACAGCTGGCTGTGGGGTGTCTGAGGAGGGTGCCAGGTCTTACAGGAAGAGTCTTGTCCCAACACCTCTTGTCTTTCAGAAACAGCATCGCGGCATCTGCTGTCTGCGCCTTCAATCTCAGTGCCATCTCCCAGGCTTTCAATGGCCCGTTTCGCTACCAGGAGAATCCCAGGGCTGCCTGGCTTCCCATCGCCAACCCCATCCCCAATTTCCAGGTACAGAATTTTCCTGACTTCACACACTGCCTTCCCCCCAGACTACCAGCCACAAGCTGATTCCCAACTGCTTAGCACAGACAGACACCAGACCTGTCCCTGCCAGTCCATGCCCATTGCTGGGGTTCACAATGGTTTCCTGAGGGTATTAGCCTCTGTAACTGTGAGGGAGAAGGGGAGAGTGGGTGAGTGGCAGTGCAAGGGAGCATGCTCAGAGCCATCTCTAAATGTGAGCCCACACCTCCAGGGAGGCAGGATAGTGGGACCTCAGCTCTCCACGGTGTAGAGGACCACAGAGGCACTACACACACTGTCTGGCTGGAATTTGAGGATGTTAACTGGAACTTTCTCACAATGTGTTCAACATGGGTACTAATTCCTGGAAGTGGTCAGTGCTAGGAATGGTCAGTGCGTGGTCAGGGCCCAGCCATGGGTAGTAGGAGCATCCCCCATCCTACAACGGAGAAGGGGAAAGAACGAGGGGGCAGAGGAGGTTGCTGATGGTTGATTTTCATGTTCACCCAGTCTCCTACCCAGGAGGTGGGATGCAGGTGGGAAAGACCTCAAGCTTTGCAGTCCTACCATCCTGACTCAGATCTAGCCTGTCTCTATGTGACCTTGGATAAAAAAGTCAGCCAACCTCCTTCAGTTTCTTTTTCCTTATTTGGAACTAGGGATAACACCATAAGAGATAACACCTCACAATCACGTGGGAAGGTTCATAAGCCTGGAATGTAGGAGATGCTCAGTAAAAGGTGGTTGGCTTCCACCTTCGGTTTAGAAATCATAAGAACTTTGAGCTGGTAGGGACACAGGAGAGGGACAGCAGGGCTTGGCCCAAGGTAGGAGAGGGGTACCTGCAGCAACAGCATAAAAATCACCGGAAGCTCATCCACACTCATATTATCCATTTTTAGGCAGGCCTGTCCCCTTTGCTCTCCCCTCTCCTCTTCCCCAACCCTGGCAGGATCCTCCTTCCCCATCTCCCCAGCCTCCTGTTTTTAGTTCCCAAAGAAGAGACATCCCACCCTGGAAAGGGTGCAGGATGCCCAGCAGGGATGCTGGGGGTGGGGGATGCTGGAGAATCAGCTTCAGTGGCTGTGGGCAACTGGGTTGCCAGGAGGAGGGAGCTGTCCGGGGATCGCGGCAGGCATGTAACCCAGCTCCCTGCGGCAGTGTGGCACCCTGCCTGAGACCGGTCCCAACGAGAACCTGACGGAGCGCAGCCTGCAGGACGCGCAGCGCCTCTTCCTGATGAGCGAGGCCGTGCAGCCGGTGACACCCGAGCCCTGTGTCACCCAGGACAGCGTACGCTTCTCACACCTCGTGGTGGACCTAGTGCAGGCCAAGGACACGCTCTACCACGTGCTCTACATTGGCACCGGTAAGCCGGCCCGGCCCAGCCTGGACTCCAGGTGGGGGGTAGGTTGAGGGACGGGGACGGGGCTGCAAGCTTCCGGGGCCTTCAAGGCCACCTTGGTCTGGCTCCCCCTCTCCCCCAGAGTCGGGCACCATCCTGAAGGCGCTGTCCACGGCAAGCCGCAATCTCCGCGGCTGCTACCTGGAAGAGCTGCACGTGCTACCCCCCGGACGCCGCGAGCCCCTGCGCAGCTTGCGCATCCTGCACAGCGCCCGCGCGCTCTTCGTGGGGCTGAGCGACGGCGTCCTGCGAGTCCCACTGGAGAGGTGCGCCGCCTACCGCAGCCAGGGGTAAGCCGGGACGGGGCTGCTCCCGAGGCCCGCCCTGCCAAGCACATTGCGCAGATGGCGCTTAAGAGGCGGGGCTTTGGACCTGGGAGACCTGAGGTCGGTCCCCGCAGTCTCCACTAGTGAGTCTTAGGACGAGTCATTCGACCTTTCTGAACCTTGGTTTTCCCTCGTAAAACATCTTGCAAGTTTTTTCTGAGGTTTAATTGGGATAATCTCCATAAAGCAAGCACTCATCAGTACCTGGGGGAAGGGTGTGCTTAGCCAATTTTGGTGGGTGGCTGTTATCCCTGCTGTCAGCCGCATAGCTAGGGCCAGTCAACCGTCTCTAGCCCAGCTGATTTATTCTCAGTCGCTTCAGCACAGAAAGGTCTTTATCTTTATCTTTGAAGCCACAGCACCCATTGCCCAGGTGCAGACGGAGATGATGCTTTGAGTCAGCCCCACGTTTCTGCTCCCACGTTTTGCTTCCTTGGAAGAGGTAGAGAGGGCTGCTGCAGGTGGGGCAGTGGTGAGGCGCCACGTGAAGGAGTTGCCCTGGCTTCCCACAGCTTCTGCTTGGTTCTCCAGCCCATGGCTTCATGTATGTGGACGCAGATTTGACAACTGTGGCACCAGTTTTTAAGGGGGAAACCAAAGCCTATTCGAAAGCCAAATGGAAATGTAGCCCAGATTCCTACCACCAGAGGCTCTCACAGGCTGCATCACCTCATTTTCATTATAATCAGAAGCTGGCATCGCCACAACCACACGAGCTTCTGTGGCCTTTGCAACCGAGAGTTTTGGCTGTGCCATCTGTCCTCAAGATTTAGAAGGCAAATGGTATCCATGATACAGGGCTGTTCTTCAGCTCCAGCTCCAGTGGGGCGTGCTAGGAGCCAGGCAGAGGCCTGTGAGGCTGGGAGGAGCTGGATGATCTTGGAGAGGCAGCCGAGGAGGGGGAGCATCAGGGCCAACTCTCCAGCTCCCTTCAGCCCCAACACAGGGCTCCATCAGTGAGATACCACACACTTACTAAGCCCTACCATGTTCAGAGCACTTTGTAAGACTGCTGGTGTGAGAGGAGGCAAGAGAAATGGCCCCAAACACTGACTTCCCTCACACCTCCAGATGTCTAGGTGGGACGAGAACCTCGGCCTATATCAGGCATGTGGGGAGAGATGGTGGGATGTGGTGGGAAGGATTCACCTGGTGGAACTAGACACACCTGGGTCTCCATCTCAGCTCCAGCATCTACCAACTGTATAATCTTGAACGACCGAATCATTTTGAGCTTTGGCTCTCTCATCAGAAAAACAGGGAGACATCTGATGGAGCAAATGATGTTTAACGTAGGTAGAGTCGTAAAGATTGGGACTAGTATTCGTAAAGTGCCCAGTCCAGCGAATCACATGGTATCTTTAGTACTTTTTATCTCCTCAAATGCGTTTAGGAGCCCTCAAGCTTCCTAGGCCCTCTGGAGTCTCATTGAATATAGACAGTATAGCTTGGCAGTGAATCACAGGCTTTCACATATGGCTTGTTCTCCAAGAGATTGTAAATCCTTAAAGCCAAACCCAGTGTCCCAGTAATCTTTACACTCCACCAGGGAGCTCCGCCTAGCCCAAGGCACAAAGTGGCCTTCCACACATGACTGATCCTTCAGTTGACTGATGGTTTGGCTTAAGAGGAGTTTGGTGCAGGAAAAACATGGGGAATGGGACCAGAAACTGGATTGAGCCCAGCTGGCAAGGTCAAAGGAGGATTCTGACTTGAATCCTGTGGCTGTGGGCACTTAAGTGATCCCAGAGCAGTGGAGTAGAGTCATGGGCAGTGTGAAGAGATCAATCAGACAGTGGTGAACAGGATTGTCACACAGCAGGTGGATGGTCCAGGTGGGCTAGTATGGCTCTAAGCCAGATCTGAAGGAACGGGGCCTGCAGTGGACAGGAGGAAGGAAAGGGACTGGGACATTTAACCACTCACGCGTTCTACAGAGGGAGGGCTTGGGGGGGTTGTGTAGTGTGCCCACTTCACTCTTATCATGGAGCAAGGCAGAAATAGGTCAGTTTGGAGTTTGGTGCTTTCATTCTATTTTGTTTCTTCACTTTGGGATAGGGAGGAGCCCTTGGTGTGTACAGTGAAAACTTTGCTAAAAAACGATAGGTAAATCCAAAAAGTATGAAATGCAAGGTCACGGCTGGGTGTGGTGGCTCATGCCTGTAATCCCAGCACTTAGGGAGCCCAAGGCAGGCGGATCACCTGAGGTTGGGAGTTCAAGACCAGCCTGACCAATACGGAGAAACCACGTCACTACCAAAAATACAAAATTAGTTGGGCGTGGTGGTGCATGCCTGTAATCCCAGCTACTCAGGAGGCTGAGGCAGGAGAATCCCTCGAACCCAGGAGGCAGAGGTTGCAGTGAGCAGAAATCGCGCCATTGCACTCCAGCTTGGGTATTAAGAGCAAAACTCTGTCTCAAAGAAAAAAATGCAAGGTCACATTATCACAAGATTAGTAAAATGGCTAGAACAAGTACACACAGTCGCCAAGATGTGCACTCCAGGAGTCCGGGAGCCAGCCGCCACAATATATTAGCACTTGCACTATTGTGGCGTGTGTTGTTGCAGGGTTTTACTGTGTCCTAGGATAGACATTTCATGCTGTTTTCCTCATTCCTTCCAAAACTGGCAGAAAGATGGGGGTGGGTAAGCAGAGGCCTCTTCAGGACCCCTCCTCTGCTCAGGATCTGGGGCCTCATCTCCCACTGCCTCTTTTCACTCAGGAGAATCTCAGCCCCACAGGGCACCACCAAGACCTGACCTGGCCTGGCTAGAGAGAGACCATAAGGAGGAGCCTGGGGGATAAACTAGTGACTGGCTCTGCAAAGCAGGTGTTTTATGCATGAACCACCCCTTTCCTCCATCCAGCATGCCTTTCACCCTGCCTTTGAGAGAGGTCCTCTACCCCATCTCATTCACAGATCTCCCCTGGCTGTCTCATGAGCGAAGGGGAGGCCCACTCTCAACTATTTTTTGCTCACAAGCTCCAGAAATACCTTTTCCACCCTGGACAGCTCCCACTGTGAGACTACTGCGCCACAGTGCTGGAATCTGCCTGCCTGCAACTTCTACCATCCATCTCTGTCCCGCCTCCGAGCCCATGGAATGAACCTGTTCCTTTTAGTAATGGCTGCTTGAGACACTGCAGTTAAAAAAAAAAGGAAAAAGAGAGGCATGTTGATATATTATTGGTCTGATGGCTCCTTTATGAAAAGATTCTAAACTGCCACCATTTCTACAGTCAGAGACACACTTTAAGTCTCTGATCCTTGGAGCTTTCATTTTTCTTAAGAGTGTTCCCTGCTCTGTAAGCTTTGAAGTGGCCTTTGGCCAAAAGCAGAAAATGTGGTTCCACTTGAGCCAAGGAGGCAGCTATCCCTTTTATTCATGAGAAGAGAGCTCGGGCACTGGCCCCAAGAAGTCTCAAGGGTCCCCTCAGGCTGCCAGGGAAGGGGAAGGGCAGGCGTGTCTATGGAGAATCTGGTATCCTCTTTCTTCTCTGGGACTTAATTGAGAGCAGGGGGAGCTGAAGAGATGAGAGGGCCTGGAGAAAGGAGGCTGGAGCCAGCATCTACTCCACGTTTTTCTTCTTTCCTATTCTGCCATGTCTTCTGGAAAGAAAGACACTCATCCCTTGGCTTGGGAATCTTGTTAAAAGTGGCGCCTGGCACAGCATTTCTCAAACATGGTTACTCAGCTGAGTTACCTGAGGGGTATGTAGAAGATTTCAGTGCCGGGGCCTATTTCAGTCCAAAAAGTCCAAATATAAGGGTGGGTAGGCTTTTTGTTTGGTTTGCTTAAGCCTTTTAAAGGATGCCCAGGAGATCCTAATTTGCAGGCAATACTGGAAACTCCTGCTGTAGAACTGGTTAGGCTCTAGATGTAAGAAGGAGCAAGAAGCAAACTACATTTCTCTAGAATCTTCTGCATTTGTCTTATATAAGCTGATTCAGGTTTTTTGCTCTTACCCATTTTCTCTGCTGGCAGATATTTGTTTTTAATGGATAGAATATTATTTATTATTACTGGTTACTAGCTATGGCTAATTCTTTTTTTTCCAATTAAATTATGTCACTTATAAATGCCACATCAGCTGCCTCTAGAGGTTGACACCCCTTTTTGAGGGCTGAAGGAAATAAATTCAGGAATGGACTTTGCTGAGTTCTGATTGGTTGAATTTGCTAGCAGTCTTCTTGATCCCAATGTCAGCCAGTAAGCAGAGTCTCGAAACCAGTTTGCTGGGACTACTGTGTACATGTGTTGCATGTAGTCCTTGCAATGTCCAGTTTGATGGATTCCGCTGATAAAATAACCTCAAATCAAACCATCGACCCCAGAGGAAAATATGACCACACTTGTCTTGTACAATTTACCCAAATTGTCCTTAAGTGAATAAACTAGAAACAGATTCCCGAGCAACAGTTGAGTATTCTGGATTCCTGCGTGGGCCAGAGTGTGCTTACCAGGCTCCCATGAGTGCCTCACTTATATGAGGCCGTGGTTTGCCCTGAGCAGTGGACAGTACTATCTTCTTCACCCTTCTTTGGTGACAAGGAGAAGCCCCACCCTCTTCTTTGTATAATTTCTCACATAACCTCATTTTTCTCTGGGGCCTGACATCTATTGAACTCATTGAAAGTTAAGAATTCACCTGATAGGTGAATTCTTAACTCTCCTTGAAGCTTCAAGAGATAAGAACAATTCTACCCTGGAGACACCAAAAGTTGCAACTCTTGGCTTTTTTTTTTTTTTTTTTTTTTTTTTTTGGTGTATCTCTTTAGCCCCAGGCATCTTTGGCCCCTTTGTCCAATGGGAAGATCCCTCTGCAAACTCACAGAATGGTGTGAACACCTCATCAGGCTCCATTTTCTTTGCAGCCCAGTACCTCCTTCTTTAAAGCCTTTTCTGTTTTCCAACCTCCAATTTCTGAGCCCCTGCCCAGTGCTCTCTCCAGACCCTCTCCAGCAGACTGTCTCAGAAGGGGGCGGAAGCTGGGGACAGGAGCCAGAGGGATCCAGGTGTGCCTCAGGATTGGCAGTGGGCTGAGTGTTGAAGGGACCCTCCTTCTGGCACCTGGGTTGGATACTCTCTGTATTCAGCAATGGATGGCAAAGCCTGATTCCGTAATCCCCATAGACTTCTTCTCCCCTTGGAAGTCCTACTAGCAGAGATTAGATTTTTCTGTTAAAAAATTACGCGAGTAAATCAAAAGGAGAAAAGGAGCTCTAGACTATGAGAAGTGGAGACATTTGGCGCATGCATCATTGTGTGAACCAGTATCATTTTTGGGGCCACTGCAGAGAGACCAGCCCTCAGGCTTCAGGAACCGGGAACTGGGATGTGACCTGCAGCTTGAGCTCATTCTCATGATGCTAAAGCACTGGATTGTGATTCCTACCACGAAGCAGCACAAGCATGTGGGTGCCCCAGGTGACCATGGACAGCACCCAGGTGTCTGCTGATCTTGTGCTGTATTTTGAGGGATGGGCTCATATTCACTGTGTGAAATCTGACAGCCTCCCGTGGGAAGCAAAAGTGTGAGGGGGAAAGCATGGTTGGAAATCTCGGATCTGGGCCCAGCTCCACCTCATATGATCTGTGTGATATCGGGAAAACTCCTTCTCCCCTCACCTTTGTACAATGAAAAGGTTGTGTAGTGGATCCCAGTGGTTCTCACTCAGGGAGCTCTTATACACTGCTTCACCCCCAGAGAGTGTTGATTGGGGTGGGCTGGGATATTGTTAATGCTTTCAAAAGCTCCTCAGGTGATTCTAATGTGCAGCCAGAGTTGAAAACGGCTGGACCAAACCATCTGTAAGGCTTTTTCCATTTCTAATGTTTTATGACTATGATCATAGCATGTGTCAGGGAGGTACTACCTCTTTGGGTTTCTGTTAACTACATCTGCTCCTGTGGCTGTGGGTGAGGAGTATGGGGTACCCATACTTGGGGAAAGCACTGCCGTCTCTGTTAAATGTGCAGTCTCTGGAGGATGAGAGTTTGAGTCCTGGGTCAGGTCTCTGGGTTTCTCCCAGATAACATCGGGATAATAACAGTGCCTACGTCATTGGAGTGCTGGATTTAAATTAAGTCATGCTTTTAAAGTGCTTAAAATGATGCCCTACACAAAGTAAAGGCTCAGTGAACTTCATTATTATCAGGGAGGACAAATGGATGGAAAGTGGTGTGCAGAGGGGAGTATCCAGGTGTGTTCTTGAGATGCAGGTGAGGCTGGGAAGCCAGTGGGCTTGAGTCCCAGGACATCTGTCTGGCAGGGCATGCCTGGGGGCCCGGGACCCGTACTGTGGCTGGGACGGGAAGCAGCAACGTTGCAGCACGCTCGAGGACAGCTCCAACATGAGCCTCTGGATCCAGAACATCACCACCTGCCCTGTGAGAATCCCTGTGTGTCTTCCCACCTCAGACCTCTCCTTCGATTCAGGCTATGATTCCCCACCAGTATTGCCCCATCCCCTGAGATCCTGTGACTTCCCTGCCCTTGCCTTGGGTCATAGGGGTACTATCCCCCATGCGTGTCTGCAGGTGCGAAACGTGACACGGGATGGGGGCTTTGGCCCATGGTCACCATGGCAACCGTGTGAACACTTAGATGGGGACAACTCAGGCTCTTGCCTGTGTCGAGCCCGATCCTGTGACTCGCCTCGACCCCGCTGTGGGGGCCTTGACTGCGTGGGGCCAGCCATCCACATTGCCAACTGCTCCAGGTATGTAAGGACAGGGCTTGCATGGTGTCTGCCTTGGACCAGGGTGGGGAAAACGGGAAATGGGGCCCCCTCACTCAGGTGTTTGCACTAAGGGACAGAAACCACTTCAAGGCTGCGCTGGGGACCAGATAGGTGGCTAGTGTGTGAGGCAGGAAACCTGAGCCCTGAGGGAGTTTCCATGCTAGTAAGAGAGAAGTTTCTACCTCTTCATGTCTCTTGATGCAAAGAGGAATGCTGGGCAGGCATAGGGGTCACTTCCAGATGAAGGTGAGCCTCAATGGGTCTTGTCCCAAACATAAGGGACAGCATGGGATTGTGGCAAGGCAAGGAAACCTGGTGCCAATCCCGGATTGCCACTGTCTGGAGGTGTGGCCGTGGCCTGGCCGCTTAACCACGCTGAGCTTCTGTCAGTGAGGGTTATAGCACCCACCCAAGAGTTGTTGGGAGCATTAAATGAGATAAGCTTTACACACTGCCTGGTGCCTGGGTACTCCATAAAATAACCCATAATTTTAGACACTTTTTTTTTTTTGAGACAGTGTCTTATTCTGTTGCCCAGGCTGGAGTAAAGTGGTGTGATCATGGCTCACTGTAATCTCCTGCCTCAACCTCCTGATTAGCTAAGACTACAGATGCCCACACCACACCCAGCAAAATTTTAAAAAATTTTTGTGGAAACGGAGTCTTACTTTGTTGTCTAGGTTGGTCTTGAATTCCTGGCCTCAAGTGATCCTCCCACCTCAGCCTCCCAAAGCTCTGGGATTACAGGCATGAGCCACCACACCCAGCCCTGGACACTCTTAAAACAACTATTTCATACACAATTATTAATGTAGCCCTAACAGAAACCTCATGGGGGTAGGAATACCTCATGGGGGTAAGAATACAGTCATTATCCTTACTTTAAAGTTAAGAGTACTATGAGGCACAGAAGGTTCTGGTAACTTGCCCAGGGTTTCACAGCCAGCAAGTGGTAGAGCCCAGATTTGAAAATTGGAGTCAGAGTAGCCACAAAGTAGTGTCTGAGGCTGTACAAAGCACGTACAGTGTAGCACAGGGGACAGAGTGTGGGTTCCAGCCCAAGGATTGGGACCAACCAGAAAGGCTGAAACGGAAGCTACAGAGTGGAAAGGGGACTGGGGCATTCTTCTCTAAATAGAGTCTGCCCTTTTTCCCCTGTAAGTAGGGACCATGTCCTATCTCTACGTCCTTAGCCCTGAGCACAGCCTGATATATAGAAGAAGGCTCTCAATACATGGCTGAAGGAAGAATGAATGAACGAATGGATGAGCTAGTCTGCCTGAGATGACCTGTTTAGGAGAAGATATTTCTATGTCACTGTCCAGCCCTTTCTGACAGCAATAGAAAATCCATCGGCCCAGATACAGACTAGATCTAAAAAGCTAGGGCTCAGAGGGGCATCTGTGTCTGTCCCCTCTCACCCCAACAGGAATGGGGCGTGGACCCCGTGGTCATCGTGGGCGCTGTGCAGCACGTCCTGTGGCATCGGCTTCCAGGTCCGCCAGCGAAGTTGCAGCAACCCTGCTCCCCGCCACGGGGGCCGCATCTGCGTGGGCAAGAGCCGGGAGGAGAGGTGAGGGAGGACAGGCTTGTCCTGAGGTCCCAGATTTTCGTGGCCCCTCACAAAGTGGCCTGGATTCTCGTGATCCCGGGGACTCTCGTCCTTCCCACTCTTGCACTCCCAGGGACCTCTTGTCAGGGAAGGGGGTCCCCCTCCCTAGATTGACGCCTCTCCCCCACCCCAGGTTCTGTAACGAGAACACACCTTGCCCGCTGCCCATCTTCTGGGCTTCCTGGGGCTCCTGGAGCAAGTGCAGCAGCAACTGTGGAGGCGGCGTGCAGTCGCGGCGTCGGGCCTGCGAAAACGGCAACTCCTGCCTGGGCTGCGGTGTGGTGAGGGCCGGGGCCGGGACGCGGCGTGGCGTGGGGACGTGGGGGCCTCGAGCCGAGGGGAGGGAGGGTCCAGAGGCCGCGGAGCTCTAAAGCCGCCGCCACCCGCAGGAATTCAAGACCTGCAACCCGGAGGGCTGCCCCGAGGTGCGGCGCAACACGCCCTGGACGCCGTGGCTGCCTGTGAACGTGACGCAGGGCGGGGCGCGGCAGGAGCAGAGGTTCCGCTTCACGTGCCGCGCGTCCCTGGCCGACCCGCACGGCCTGCAGTTCGGCAGGAGAAGGACCGAGACGAGGACCTGCCCCGCGGACGGCTCCGGAGCCTGTGACACCGATGGTACCGCGCCGCGCCCCCCTCCTTCTTCCCTCCTAGCCCAGGAGCGTTGGGGGCGGGGGCGGGAGCGCTAGGGGAAGGCCAGGGTCGGGGTCCGGGTGTCCGGGTGCCCCGTCGCTGAGGCCGCGCCCCTCCGCAGCCCTGGTGGGGGATCTCCTGCGCAGCGGGAGCAACTCTCCGCACACGGTTAGCGGGGGCTGGGCCGCCTGGGGACCGTGGTCGTCCTGCTCCCGGGACTGCGAGCTGGGCTTCCGCGTCCGCAAGAGAACGTGCACGAACCCGGAGCCCCGCAACGGGGGCCTGCCCTGCGTGGGCGATGCTGCCGAATACCAGGACTGCAACCCCCAGGCCTGCCCAGGTAACCCTGCACGGAAGGAATCCTTGGCCCAGGGAAACCCTGTCATCCTGGAGACACGGCCTATCCACAAGGCCTACCCAGGAACCCCAATGCCCAAGTGACCCCTTCTCCCTGCCAACTCTGTGCTAGGGACCCCCAGAGCAAATTTCTGCCCCAGCCACGGATGCAATGGCTACTCCAGTGAAGTAGGGCCTCAACTTATCCTCCCTGTCCCTTTTTTTTTTCACCTTTCTTAATGAGTTAGGTAAGACGCTTGATTGGAGGTGGAGTTGGTTGCTCTCCCTCCGGATGTGTCTGCTGCTGCTGCCTGCGTTTCCCCGCCTGCCCTATGGGGCAGGGAGATACTCCCTATCAGTGGACTGTTGGGTGGTGGGTGGATCGGGTGGATGTTGAGGTCACTGTGGCTCAGGGCAGTGACCTGGCCTGGAATGGGGTGGAAGACCGTCTTGGGCCCTGCCTGCCCCTGCAGCCCCTCACATGCCTATCCCCTTGCAGTTAGGGGTGCTTGGTCCTGCTGGACCTCATGGTCCCCATGCTCCGCTTCCTGTGGTGGGGGTCACTATCAACGCACACGCTCTTGCACCAGCCCCGCACCCTCCCCAGGTGAGGACATCTGTCTCGGGCTGCACACGGAGGAGGCACTGTGTGCCACACAGGCCTGTCCAGGTACAAGGCACATCCCGCCAGGGCTGGGAAGCACCATGGAACCCTCTGATCCCCACCAGGGGGTCCCGTAGCAGTTCACCTCATCCCACCCACAACCCCCAGAAGGCTGGTCGCCCTGGTCTGAGTGGAGTGCGTGCACTGAGGACGGAGCCCAGAGCCGAAGCCGCCACTGTGAGGAGCTCCTCCCAGGGCCCAACACCTGTGCTGGAAACAGCAGCCAGAGCCGCCCCTGCCCTTTCAGTGAGATTCCTGGTAGGTCTCCCTGCCAGCACCTGCACAGCAACCCTTCCCAGCCTGCACTCCCAACTCCTTCCCCTACTGAAGCTTGTATCTTGGTGGGGAGAGGGAAAGTGGGCAAAGGATGAAACACGGAGGTGGGAAGGAGATACCAAAAGAGAACTCCTATATTTGCCTCCATGCACACATTTGAGGTTTGGGCCCTCCTCATCCAGTGGATGGGCCAGCCCTTCTCAGAGGTCGGCTCTGGGGAAAGAGGGAGGGAAATGAAGGCCCCATTCCCAGTCCTACCACTGAGCATTGACCTAAGGGTCCTCCCAGGGTTGCGCCTACCCTGCAGAGCCCCCCTCCTCTCGTCTCTGCCCCTGACACCCTGTCCACTGGTCTTCCTGCAGTCATCCTGCCAGCCTCCAGCATGGAGGAGGCCACCAGCTGCGCAGGTAAAAGAAACCGGCCCTACCTCATGTTGCGGTCCTCCCACCCCTCCTGCACCCCACTCAAAGTCCGGACTCTTTCCACATCCTGCTCCAGACAGCCAAGCTTTGTTGGGGTCCCCACTGCTTTGAGATGCTGTGTAGGGTGGTCTGTGCAGTTCCCTCCATGCCCCCCAGCTAGGCGGTCATTCTCAGTCTATACCCAAGGAAGAGTCATCTGACTCCAGACCCTCTGGTTGCCATCTCTGATTTGAGCCACAGGGTGCCTTGTGAAAGAGGACCCCAGTGACAGTCCCCCAGCCTCCCCATTTACTTTGGCTCTGGCCTCAGAGCCTCCTGTTTCTGTTTTTGCTCCCAGGGAGGCAGGCAGGAGTCTGTCCTCTTCATAGTGGCCCTTATCTTACTACCCGCTTCTCTTCCCCCAGGGTTCAATCTCATCCACCTGGTGGCCACGGGCATCTCCTGCTTTTTGGGCTCTGGGCTCCTGACCCTGGCAGTGTACTTGTCTTGCCAGCACTGCCAGCGTCAGTCCCAGGAGTCCACACTGGTCCATCCTGCCACCCCCAACCACTTGCAGTACAAGGGCGGGGGCACCCCGAAGAATGAAAAGTACACACCCATGGAGTTCAAGGTGGGAGCCTTTTTATAGAAGCAGAGGGCGGGGTGGGAGGGCAGGGTGAAGAGTGCAGGGGTTCTGGCCCTCAGCTGGGTGGAACCAGGCAGTGGTGGTGTGAACAGATCCCTGGATCCATAGTCTGAGTGTTCTTTCACTGGCCACCTTCTGGACTCCTTGCCCTGGCCTATTCCCTTCTTCTGTCTGTTCCCTCACCCCTTTCTCTGGTTCCTTCTTCCTCCCACAGACCCTGAATAAGAATAACTTGATCCCTGATGACAGAGCCAACTTCTACCCATTGCAGCAGACCAATGTGTACACGACTACCTACTACCCAAGTCCCCTGAACAAACACAGCTTCCGGCCCGAGGCCTCACCTGGACAACGGTGCTTCCCCAACAGCTGATACCGCCGTCCTGGGGACTTAGGCTCCTTGCCTTCCTAAGGCACAGAGCAGGTGGAGATGGGACAGTGGAGCCAGTTTGGTTTTCTCCCTCTGCACTAGGCCAAGAACTTGCTGCGTTGACTATGGGGGTCCCATCCAGCTTCAGAGAGCTCTGGCTGGCATTGACCATGGGGGAGAAGGCTGGCTTCAGGCTGGCACATGGCTGCAGGTCCAGTTCTGCCCAGGTCTCTCATGTCCACCTTGCAACCCACTGTCATGCTGACCCTCCCCTGCTATGTCCAGGTTGTGGACCTACTGGGCATGTGAGGAATTGGAGAATGGAGATGGCAACAGGGCAGGCTTTTAGGTTTGGGTTGGAAACAACTTCCTGTGGCCCCCACAAGCTGAGCCTGGCCTTCTCCAGCTGGCCCCCAAAAAGACCTGTGCTCCATTCTGATTATCTCTGAAAGTAATCAATCAAGTGGCCCCAGTAGTTCTGGATTTTCTACCAGGGTGAGGCCGTTGTGGTGCTGCCCCAGTGTGACATAGGGGACCAAGGCCAGCACAGGTTGTCCACCTCTGCCTAGCCATCTGTACTCTACCCAGGGCATTCCTCTGGTCAGAGGCAGTGAGGACTGGGAACTGGAGATTGATCTGTGCTTAGAAGTCCTTTAATCTGGGCTGGTACAGACAGGCCTCAGCCTTGCCCTCAATGTAGGAAAGGTGGCCCGGGAGAAAAAAAGCTCAATGCCATAGGAGGCAGAAGTCTGGCCTCTGTGCCTGTATGGAGACTATCTTCCAGTTGCTGCTCAACAGAGTTGTTGGCTGAGACCTGCTAGGGGAGTCTCTGCTGGCCCTTCATCTGTTCAGGAACACTCTCTCTCTCTCTCTCTCTCTCTCTCTCTCTCTCTCTCTCTCTCTCTCACACACACACACAATTTGCTACAGCAACAAAAAATGTTGGGCTATGGCATTATTAATTAAAGATGATATCCAGTCTCCAAATGTCTCTGTGTATGTGTGCGTGGGCTCCTCTTGCATGATCTAGGCAATCTGAGCAATGCACCAGGGTGGCAGATGGTCTACTCAAGGCAGAGGAAATGCCCCAAGTAGCTCTATCTTTAATAGATGATATCCTTCCATTTGTGGAATGGAAATACACATGCAATGTACACATACATTGCCGTATACCCTTTTTGGAAAATTCACAAGTGGGGACATAAGGTACACCAAAGGCAACAAAACAAGAGATTTCTGCCTGTTCCTTTAGCATCTCTTCCAGGCAACAGTTCCAGGGTGTGAGTCCAGCGGGAGAGTGTTGATGAGAATTGTTTTATGAGATATTTACACTGCTGAGTTTAATAAAATCAAAATTGAGAAACAGGCAAATCTGTGAGGTGGAAGAAGCCTAATACAGTTTTTGCTGGATTGAATAAAGATAACCTGAAAGCCTCAGCCCAGCAAATCAATGCTGCCATTTTGGATGAGATTGACGGACATGTTAAATTTAGAGAGCAATTTCCTGACTTAATTGGCTGGATCAATTCTCCTAGGATTCCCAGCAGAATCCAATTGTAGGTCAGGCTGTAAAACCTGCCATCCTAGTGGTAGAGGAGGAGGAGGCTCTTGGGGAATGGAGGGAGGGGTGCTCGAAGCTTCAAGTTTCCTAGAAAGGAGGAGGAAATAACATGCCTGAAATAGCAGCACAGTGAAGCCCCATCCGAGAGCTGAGGGAGCACGTGAAAACTTGCAGCTTTGGGATTCCTGACTGGTTCCTCTTAGCCCCATAAGTCCTGAACTCATGGGGACCTGCAGTGCATTTTATTTATTTATTTATTTTTACATATTTACTTTTGGGACAGAGTCTTGCTCTGTCCCCCACACTAGAGCACAGTGGCTTGATCTCAGCTCACTGTAACCTCTGCCTCCCAGGCTCAAGTGATCCTCCCACCTCAGCCTCTTTTTTTTTGAAGAGATGAGGTTTCACCATGTTGCCCAGGCTGGTCTCGAACCCCTGGACCCATGCAATCTGCCCCACTCAGCCTCCCAAAGTGTTGGAATTACAGGCATGAGCCACTGTGCCCAGCCAGCAGTGCATTTTAGATTCTGGGGTCTTAAGAGTCCCTTGAACCTGAGAGTCACTGAAGTTCAACAGTGTTCTAGGGTCCAGGGTGCCTGCTTCAGAAGGGCCCCTCATGGTGTGTTCAAGTGGAGGGACTAGGTAGGTCTTTAGGAAGTGGTCATGGAGACTTCCCAAGCAATTCCCACCCGCTGTTGACTGCAGTGGCATCAGCAGAATGCAAATCCTTGAGTGCCAGGTCAAAACACACACACACACACACACACACACACACACACACACACACACACAATTCTCTTTACAAAAACGTGGCTTTGGAGGCATGATCATGCAGAATGCATGAAGGATCCACACTGCTTGCAGATGAGCTGGCAAAGTTGGTAAGGGCTATTAAGTAAGGGTGTGTTGGTAAGGGTGTGGGAATCTCTGACAGATGTCAGGGAGCTGAGGCATGAAGGGCAAGGGGTTCTTCCTTGGCCCAGCTGGCTCAGCAGGAGTAAGGAGGATGCAGGAGTGGGTACTCCAGGCTTTTTTGCATCCTTTTGTGTATAAATGACTTTTTGAGTGTGTGTGCATTTTCTTGTTAAAGTCATACATGTTCACTGCAGAAAATTTAGAGGATAGAGAAAACCAAAAAGATAATCACAGTTTTACTAAAAACCAGGGCAGAGACTTAGGGATTTTAAATGGTGGCATAAAGACATTTATCATCCCAAAAATATAATAAAAAACAAAAACTCTGTCACTATTTTCAGTAAATCTAGGAAGTATGTATAATCCCAAATCATGATCCATGAAGACAGAAAGCAGACGGAGGAACCAGGTATCCAGTAGAGTGGATATGGGCCAAACTTAAGCATCCAAGTGAATGTTGGGGTAAATATTGAGAGGGAAATAAGTAACTTCTTGTTTTCCCCTGATTATAACTATGGTGCATGTTCACTAAAAAATTTTTGGAAAATAAAAATATAAACTTATTAAAAAGAAAATACAAATGCCTTAAAATCCAACCTGGAGACAACCATCATTATTTTAATGTGTTCTTTTTCCAGGCATTTTTCTGTGGCTCTGTACAAATTTAAGAGTGTTTCATAAACTTAAGATATACTATGTGGATGGCTTTTATTCTGATTTTAACACAAAACATTATATCATTATTTTCCTACATTGTTAAAAATTATCTTGGGAGACCAAGGCAGGCAGATCACCTGAGGTCAGGAGTTCGAGACCAGCCTGGCCAACAACGGTGAAACTCCATCTCTACTAAAAATATAAAAAAATTAGCTAGGCATGGTGGTGGGTGCCTGTAATCCCAGATACTTGGGAGGTCGAGGCAGGAGAATTGCTTGAACCAGGAGATGGAGGTTGCAGTGAGATGACACGGTGCCATTGCACTCCAGCCTGGGCAACAGAGTAAGACTCCATCTCAAAAAATATATATATATATCCCTAGAGCCTCAAAATCCCTTTCAATGTCTGCCCTAGGATGGGACCTGGGAAGGGAGAGAGGGCTTAGTTTGCAGGGCTCCACAAATAACAATGTACCCCACCCCACTGCTTCAATAAAATAAAGTTCAATTCTTATATATTTTATTTGTTTATGCCACTAAGATTTACTTTGGAAAAGGTTTGCATAATGGTTGAAAAATCCTAACTTTCTGTCATATAAGTTTTATTTCTATTACATAGAATTATTCATTCTACTACATACATTTATTCTCTATTATGTAAATGTGTCATTCTATTATGTAAATGTATAATAATTTATCTAAACCACTCTCATTTATTTCAAAATTTATTTTACCAACGAATACTATTATGGATCTCCTTCTATTATACATATTCCTATGTCCTTAGGATAAATTCCCAGAAGTGAAGGCTTGCAGGGAGCAAGAACTCATCAGTGTTAGCCCTTAGGGTTAGTAGCCATGAAATAAGAATACACTGCTGGTGGAAGTGTAATATACCAATCCCCTGAAGAGAATTTTGGCCATAGAAGTAGCTGTGCTCCTCAGGCTGGGTCATCTGGGGAAATCAGGCACCCTGAACCCATCGTCCTCACACAGGAATCTGGGAATATGTCTTCCTCGGAGAGCCAATTGGACGAGGCTTGCTTCTGCAACTTGCAGTGTTCCAAAAGGGGATCTTCCAGAAGAGGAGAGACACCCCGCCATTTCTACCAAATGATGTGTCACTCACCTGGGTTCCAGCATTTCAGGCACTCCCTAGGAAGGAGTCTTTCAACTGGAGGTCCACCAGGCCTGTGCTCACGGGGGCCCCAGCCTCCTCACAGGACCCAGCTATTCTGGGCCAGTCTGGCCTGTAACTCAGACCACTCCATGGCCCACAGCTACACCACTAGGTCACCCTGATGACTCACTGAGAACCCTGCAGGCTGGCCCCAAACATGCTCCTCAGGCAAAGCCTCTCTCCTCATCCTGAGCTGCCAACAGGGCACTAACACACTTCCTGGGGGCCAGGCCTCTAATTCTATGGCTGTGCTGACTGTAGGAGGCTCAGGCTTTAGGGTTTGGAATGTGAACTCTGAAATTTGTGGGAAAATTTATCTCTACCCCCATAAGGTCCTTCCAGTCACTCTAAAAGGGAGATGTTTTTCCTAGGTTTGTACCCCAGTTTCCAGAGCTGGTAGGACACAGGACCCCCACCATACTTGAATATCCTAATCAGCTCTGCCCAGCACTGAGCACTCTCAAACACAGAGGGTCCACTGCGCCCACCACCCCGATAAATCTCCCTTCCGAGATTCCTAGGGGAGTAGGCTCCACGGAGCTCACAGTACAAAAGGATGTACAATAAAAAGTGAATCTCCCATTCTTGATTCCTAGGCCCCAAGATCCTGTTCCAGGAGGCACCTAGAGGTAGATCAGGGGCACATACATATATACATATGTTTATTATGTGTGTACATCAAGAGTTGGTTTTGGCCTTGATATTCAGCCAAAAATCTTTCAATTGGTCTTCAACCTCAGCTTTTGGAAGTCTCAGTAGCTGAGTGCCTACCTCAATATTATTTATAATACCCCTGAGAGTTTGTGCTTAATATACAGTCATGGTTGCACAGGTTATCATTATATCTTTTTTTTTTTTTAGACTGGGTTTTGCTGTGTTGCCCAGGCTGGTGTGCAGTGGTGTGATCATGGCTTACTGCAGCCTCAGCTTCCTGGGCCCAAACAATCCTCCCACCTCAGCAACCCAAGTAGCTGAGACTATAGGCACATGCCACCATGCCTGGCTCATTTTTTCTTTTATCTTTTTTTTTTTCTGAGACAGAGTTTCTGCTCTTGTTGCCCAGACTGGAGTGCAATGGCACGATGTCTGCTCACCACAACCTCTGCATCCTAGGTTCAAGTGATTCTCCTGCTTCAGCCTCCCGAGTAGCTGGGATTATAGGCATGTGCCACCATGCTCAGCTAATTTTGTATTTTTAGTAGAGATGGGGGTTCTTCATGTTGGTCAGGCTGGTCTCGAACTCCTGACCTCAGGCGATCCACCTGCCTCGGCCTCCATAAGTGTTAGTATTACAGGCGTGAGTGAACCCGCCCAGCCTGCCTGGCTAATTTTTAAAAAAATTTTTGTAGCGATGGATTCCCACTGTTTCCCAGGCTGGTGTCAAACTCCTGGCTTCACACCATCCTCCCACCTTCGCTGCCCAAAGTGCCCAGAGTGCTAGGATTACAGGTGTGAGCCACTGCACCTGGTCTATCATTACATCTAATCTGCATATCAACATTAGTAATACGCATGAGGCACACCATTTAGATTTATTAATAGACGATACTCACTATAAATGTCAAATAAGTCTTGAAGTGAAATGAAAGTCTCTTTTATGCTTCATATCTATCAGTCATTTGAACGATATATATTTATTCTTATAAGATTAAAAGGCCATGATAATTAATGTTTC